TTTTTGCTCCAATTGCCAGTTTTGGACATGATTTCTTGAATAATTATCTTCAGAAAATGAGAAACTGAACAACTCATTGTACATCACAAATATAGAGAAGTACAGAGAATTCTTCCACATAGCACTTAGCCTTATATACCACTTCATAGTGCGTTTACAGCCCTCTCTAGGCAGTTTACAGAGTCAGCATATTGCCCCCCAACAATCTGGGTTCTCATTTTATCTACCTTGGAAGGATGGAAGGCTGAGTCAACCTTGAGCTGGTGAGATTTGAACTGCCGAACTGCAGCTAGCAGTCAGCTGCAGTGCTGCACTCTAACCACTGCGCCACCTCGGCTCTGCACCATGGCACCACTACACATAGAAGTGTTTCTACTCCACATCCTCCCCAACAAATATTTTAGTAATAAAAAATAAAATATGGGAATACTATGTGTGTGGAAAGGCCAATGATCCAAGCTTTCATTGTACCAGTATGAATTCACTTAGTGGAAGATTTGATCTTGATGCTTATGAAGTGGGCCAGGCAATGTTTGGGAGCATCAAAGGCCCTTGTCTTTCTGCATAGGCCCAAGATACCTGTTGATATGGTGATATTATCAGAAGGAGAGGCCCTTTTTCAGTGATTCGGGGGCAGTTAGTTACGAGAAAGGGAACTCCTGTTCTGTAATGCAGGGGTCCCCACCCCCAGGTTGCAGTCCATTACCAGGCCTTGAACCATTTGGGACTGAGCTGCAGAAGTGGCAGGCGAGTGCACACACACATCCCCACTTGTGCAAGCAGCGGCCAAGCCCATATGCGCATGTTCCATTTGCACAAACAGCAAGTGTGTGTGCCCGCTGCTCCCGCAGAACCATCCCCTCTTCTCCCCACCCTATCAGTCCACAAAGGTTGGGGAACTCTGCTGTAATGAAACATAGGGATGATGACCTTGGGGAAATGGGGGAAGAAATGCTGCCTAGGAAGCAATCACACAAGAGAGGCAGGAGGCCAACAGCTTAAAATCAGAGAAAAAAAAAAAACTTAGGAAGGACCCACTCTAATTGATCAAACAGGTAAAAGTAGCGGCAGGAAGTTTGTACTCTCAGACTTGCAAGATTCTGCTAATGTAGCCTTACAATAAAGTAGAAGTAGATTCAGCTATTTTGACCATAAACCTCTGAAGTGTGATGAAGGATGAAGTGCTGGCAGGTGGAATAAACTGGTGGTTGAAGTCACAGTCTGCAAATTACCAACTCTTTATCTATATCTACATTGTTTTTCCTACATGGTCTTATCTGCTAGCTTCTTTTATTATAACTACTACACAACCATTAGCATATGCTATATTTACAAGCACAATCGGGATTGCTCAACCGAATTAAGGTGTCAAGTGACCTTATTCTTATTTTGTTTCTTGAGTAACTTATTGATTCACACAACCTGATGAACCTAATCCGTTTGCCTTTAATTTGAAAGATTTTGGATTTTCCAAGTACCAGATTATGCTTTAATGCCATAAAAACTAGGGAGAAATATGGGATGAATTGGAATGGAATTTTGAATTTGGGAAAAGAATAAAGGAATATATATTGTTACTTAGATCAAGATGGGTCATTACCCAAAAAGGAAGTTACAGCCACCACTGAAGAGAGGCATTGTATGGAAACTTGTGAAATCTAAACTCTGCAGTAACGTCTCAATATGCATGTTCATATTATTGGATTTTGTATACATAAAGTTAAGCGTTACAAAAGTCGGCGGCGGCAAAAACAGAAAAGTTCTGAAAATTGAAAAAAAAATTGGGAGGATTTGAACTCAGTGCTCTGGATGAAGAAGGTAGGGAATCAGTCTGAATATCTCCAGTTGTGGGATGGGTAGTAGGATGTATGGGGGTAAGGGGGTTGGTTGAGACCTTGTGGTCTGAAGTGGTAGACGTCATTTTGTTTAAAGTGTGGTCATATAAATTGTGGGCCATTTTGTGGACCGCATGGTGGAGTGTGGGGGCGGTCATTTTTGAAGCCATGTTTTCGGGGAAGGTGGAAGCCATATTGGAAGCAATAAAGTCAATAGGTGGGGAGGGAGGATTTTTAATATAATGGGTGTTTAAAAAGTCAGTCTGGGAATCTATGGGTTGAAGCAAAAATTGTCGCTTATCAGGTCTGGTGAGGTTGAAAGGGTGTTCAACAGTTCAAGAGTTCTTTGAGGAGTCCAGCCTGCATTTAGTAGGCCTGTCGCATATAAAGCTTGATATAAATGCTGTTTTGGAGAAGCTTGAGAAAATAAAAGTTGGTCTGAAGTTATAGGGTTGGAACAGACAAGGGATTCAGAAGGTTGAAGTCCTTGATGATAGTCATGAGGTCGAGTATAATTGAGATTGAAGCAAGGTTGTTGTAAGCGTGGTTCTGTTCTTTCGGTGTTCGGGTGAAGAGGAGAAAAAAAAATTGGGTCCTTTCGTAAAGAGGTTTGTACTTGCTGCGTGGCTTTAATAGAAAGTTTTTTTAGTCTTTTGGATAATGATTGGTGCTGTTTTGTTAAGGATACGGTTAATGCATCAATCTCTTGTAAAGATAGTTCGTTCAGTTTCAAGGATTCCATGTTAGGAAAAATCGTTCTTTGATTTTAAAATTTACAAAAAATTCATAGACCTGAGCAATAATTTTTCATCGTCTGCTACCATTTGTCAGATATATATTGATGGTCGTGCTCATTTGGTTCTATGAAGAAGGTATTTGGTCAATACAGCTTCAGGTTCAAAAGGTTGTTTTTATTATTTACAAATATATACAAGCATACGATAATGAACAGGTGTCCTGTTACATTTTTACCCTAACTGTATGACTCAAATGTTGAGAGGAGAGAGAAGTTCACGTGTTGTCTCGCTGAGCGATAGATGAGAGAGAGAGAGAAAAAAAGGGGAAGATGTCCAAGTGGTTTCTAGGTAAGAGTCCAATAAGAAAGTTCATTGGCTGATATAGTCACATGTGATGTCTGTAAAGACTTAACCCCTTCTAGTCTCTGGTGCATCATATGCAGGCAATATCTGACATCCATCATAGCCAACATCCTGACTTTTTAAATCACACCCTGTGGATAATTCTGGAGATATATGTGGATATGTTGCATTTTTTAGAGCCTTGAAAACTCCACACTTTGATGGTAGCGCTCCAAATTATTAACTGTGGCAAACTGCTAGTATGACAATGCTTGAGTATGGTTTGAATACGATGGATTGTTCAGATTATCTTTTCTGAAAAAGAATATTGTAAAACTAGAAAAGATTCAGAAAAGTGCACTGACCAAATGAATAAGGTACCAGCGCAATTCCCATTTACAAAATTGGGAGCTTTTATTTTTCTCTTACATTAAGGAAATCCGGTGAAAGGTAAAGTAACTCTTAACCAGATGCACTTACGTCAAATTCAGATAACCAGTTGTCTGGGATGTGGCATCAGCAGATTTCCTGCATCGATACAGACTAAATTGTAAGACTTCTGTGTTCCCTTCCTATTCTGTTCCATAACATGGAGCCACATCTACAAAATCAGTGCAGTGAAAGTCAGTGAAGAAAACTTTTTTTAGATGACTAGAATCCATAAGTGGTTCCATCAACTGGAGGGAAGATTCAAGGACAGTTAAAAGGATGTGCTCTTTTATCCATGTCACAGACAGATGACAGGATTCACTGCCTTGAGGTGAAGTGAGTAGCTGCCAGTTTTGCTGGCCTTAAACAAAGAACTAGGGCCCTTTGTGGAAGACAGGGAGACCATCAATTCTGGCTACAGACCAATTCATTGACCGCTATTGGTTAATTTCTAGGATCCGTAGAACCAGAAAATACAGCTGGAAGAGGCCCTTTTTTATTCATATCCTGTGAGTAGGTATAAGTGGGAAACAAGGAGCAGCATGAAGTTGGGAGGCAGAGAGAGGAATGGTGGGATTACACAAATGCCTGAACCTCAACAAGCCGAGCAGCTGTCAGGGCCGAAGAAATGGTATCCTGAGTAATCCTACAAGCCAAGAGCAGAAAGAGTTAACATTGCTCCTTCCTCCTGGCTCCGAATAGCCTCTGACAGCTCAGGGCAGCAGAGCTATTTAGGTCTTGTGGCTACTACCTGGGAGAATGCAAAGAGGAGGAGAATCAGGAACTTCTGACTGCTAGTTGTCAGGCCCCATTCTGGATGCATGGATAAACAGGGTGATCCACCTCACCCTGCAGTGATCTTGCTGGGTAATTGTCAGTGATTCAGCTTCTCTGAAATTGAAATCCGTTTAAAATGACATTGAACAAAGGAGGCCTGGGGGTGGGCGGGCTTTTCTTCTTCGGCTTGCTGGAAAAAGCTGTTTCAAACTGTGGTTTGAAAAGTAACAGAAGTGGCTCCAGGACAGGATAGGCACTAGCTGTCATCACTTTGTAGTTAGGAAATGGCTGCGGAGCCCCCGTGCTCCATTCTTTAGACTTGAGCTATATGTAGCTTCACTGGGAGTCTGCTTTTCTGGGAAAACTTTATTCAGTGTCTTTTATAAATACTTCTCAGATTGGCTTCACTTCAGGGTGGGAGAGCTTGTTGGCCTGGGATATCTTTGTATCTGTGCACACTCTGCATGGATTGTAGGAGGTTTATTTCTTTGGTTTTGGAGGACTATAAATGCCCCCTAATACATCTCCTGCTCTCTTCTGCCTTGTACAGCAATCTCTGTCCCACCCACTTTCCAAAGATAGTTTTCTATATCCCATCCTTGCTTCTCCTTCATATCTCTTAACCATCATCATCCTCTCTGGAGCTCTGAGTCAATTTCTAGGCCTACTCCTGGGAAAGGACCAGCTGCAGTTGCCAAGCAGTACCAAAAAAGTGTCTGAGTCCGGTGATTATTTTCTGGCTGCTGCCATCTATCTCCCTCCTCCTTTACTCAACAGAGGAATCCACAGCTGTTCCAAACTAGGAGAGGAGAAGGAGGGGGCTGTTGGATGATGATGTCAAGACTCAGGGATACAAATAGGCAGAGCTCCGGCTGTCGTCCCAACTCTGTCTTCTCACCCAGAGCAGCTGCTGCCTTCCTGCCTGTCCCACCGAGCTGCCACCATGAGCTTCTCCACCCAGAGGGTCTCCTCGTACCGCCGTACTTTCGGCGGGACAGCTGCCCCTTCCTTCCCATCCCCTTCTTTTCCAAGGGCTTCCTTCGGCACCAAGGGCTCTTCTGCCAGCTCCATCTCCTCTCGGGTATACCAAGTGTCCCGTAGTGCTGCCGTGCCCACCCTTTCTAGCTTCCGTGGAAGCTACTCGGCCCCGCTGCGTTCGGCCTATCAAGGTGCCGGCGAGGTCCTCGACTTCTCCCTAGCTGATGCCATGAACCAGGAATTCCTGCAAACCCGTACGAATGAGAAAGTGGAGCTGCAGGAGCTCAATGACCGCTTCGCCAATTACATTGAGAAGGTCCGTTTCCTGGAGCAGCAGAATGCCATCATGGTGGCTGAAGTCAATCGACTCAAGGGCAAGGAGCCCACACGCATCGCCGAGATGTATGAGGAAGAGCTGAGGGAACTGAGGCGCCAGGTGGAGGTGCTGACCAACCAGCGAGCGCGGGTGGATGTGGAGAGGGACAATCTGATAGATGATCTCCAGAAGCTGAAGCAGAGGTGAGACTGAGGCCCATGACTTGCTAACTTGTTATTTTTTTTCCTCTAAGCTCATCCCTATTTATGTTGATCTGTAAATTTGAAGTTTCTTCCTAGTCATGAACAGGTACAACTCTTCCTTGACCAGAGATGGAGGAAAGAGGAAAGGGTAATGCAAATCACAGCCAGAGAGAGTGGTCTGCCAGCCCTGACCTTTGAAACAGCAATGGAAAAACTCTCTTATCAAATGTCATATTTGCCAGGCCCTGGGTAAATGGCACTGAGCAACTTTCACCTTGAAGTTGCAAACTTCTTGTGCTCTAACCTGAAATTGCCACCACAAATAGTAAGAGATATTTTATCTTACTGGGCCCAACAAAATCTATTCTTTGAATAAGGCTCAGAATGTGTCCAGTGACGTTCCTCTCCTTATAAACCTTTCCATCTTTAGAAACTTAAGAAAGCTTTTGAGGGTTAAAATGACCATCCTGAAGAGAAAGGCTAGTATCTGAAAACCTAGCACAGGATTTAAGTCTGCTGAGAAAATATTTGTGAGGTTTATTTTGGCATAGGGATGCGTGCTGGTTCAGAAATCAGTAGTAAGGCCACCAATCTCTGCCTTTTTAGAAAAATTGGATTAGCAGACTAAATTATACTTGTCAAACATCTTGTTTGGATTTGGACCTTATAGAAAATTACACATATAATTTTATTTATGCAGGGAGTGGATGACTTCCTTATCAAGCACTGGGGTTCGGTTCTAATGGGGGGAGGGGTATCTTTAGTTTAATTCCATACCAGTTAGGTCTGCTTTTTCCTTTTCAGTTGCACAGGGGATGGGGTGGGGTGGGGTGGGGGGTGTAATACTCTAAACAATTGTTTGCAAGTTCTTGTCAGATTAACTCTTGACTTCTTATGGTAGGGTGAGGATGACTTATGGTTGCCTCTTTCCATGAGGTAGCTCTGATTTTTTCCTCCCCGCATGATGTAAATTGTCTATTTATGTCCCAACTAAGTCCTTGACTAGTTCAGGATATATGTGCCACAAGCATATGAAGATCATCTATTTCTAGGAGTTTTTAAAGAGTTGAAATAAAGAAAAATGATATCCTGAAGATTAGAAAGAGGATGGATTTAAAACTTTTAAGTTAATTAGTTCCATGTGAGAGCCAGGAACCAATTTCCTTCTGGGGTTGCACATTAAATATATTAGCGGTTTAGTAATAAAATCCCTCTTCTACAGTGCCTCCGTCGTACATTTTAAAAATGTACATTAAAGAGCTGATGCAGGTGTAGGTGTCAAGATATTATCCAGCACATCTTCCAAGTCTATTAATCTTTGTTCCAGAACTTCTCTTCTAGTCATGAGGGGGGGAAAAAAACTAGTTTCAGTTTATTAGGAAAAGTGATTCCCAATAAGTCATCCAATGATGGTCTTCACTGTATGTCAGCAAATTCTTCATAGCCTCCTACAGTTTGTAATTACAGCTTTTGCAGCCCTAATGATCATCACTTGGCTTGACTTACGTAATAGCTGGGTTCATAAATCATGCTAAGTCACGGTTTCCTTTCTCGGGAGGGTTCAGTAGTTTGGTTCACAGGATGTGCCCTGGCATACCTTGTAGTAGCAATGGAACAGGTTAATGCTAAAACAGGGGAGAGATGAAAATAATTGAACAATTTGGAGGAAAAAAATGGGCTATTCATTAGGAGGGCTTCTGGAAGGATAATCTCTAGGCTCTTACTCTGTGACCAATCCTCTTGGAGGCTTCCTTTTTTCCTCCAGATTTAACTCCCTTGTGATTGACAGAGCACAAATGGACTCTGCCAGAAGGAGGCAACAGCCAAATAGCAAAGCAGGAAGTGCATATAGCTAAGAGAGGAAAAATTCAGGCAAAGAAATCCAGGGGCCAAAGTCTTTCAATCAAATATTTATTTTATTCATTAATTAAATTTGTAAGCCGCCTATTTCATTAGCCAATGTGATTCTGAGTAGCTCCGAGTACACTAAAAACACAAATATATCATTCGAATGGTCTCCTGGAACTGTGAGCAGATCTCTGCACTGAATTGGGGAAATCATCATTTTAGTTGTTGGTTCTTTATAGCATATGCGAACTGTGATCTTTGGCTTCAGTGTTTAGCACTATGGAGAAGCAAAAAAAGAACTTCCTATCTAGTTTGGATTGTACCAAATTGAAAGTCCCAGACTTATAGCAATGTAGCAGATGGTATCACTTGTCCTTTTCTTGTGCTCTTTCCCACCAAACCACATAAAAAGAAATGGAAGTGGCTACCAAACAGCCTCTCCTAATTTGGGGTCCTTAAGATCTGGGGAACCATATCTCCCAGCATCCACGCCAACATCAGGAGGCATGGGGTAGGGTCAAGCTGATGAAAAAGTTCCTATACAGAAGACTGCCTCTGCAGCTTTATCACCAGATGTCAACAGCCTGAACTAACAACTGTTGTAATTGTAGGCTCCTATCTAGTTTAAGATGTCAGGAACTTGGACAATTTAGAACTGAAGGTTTGTGGGTGATGTGTTTATAAATGCAAAAATACATAAATATGGACACAACAGTTGAGAATATGGAAACTAGAACTCTAGGGCCATGATTCACTAACTTCAGTGTCCAAATCCCGAAGCTGAGCCTTTCCCAACGTCAAACTCCACAGAAATATTAGATTACCGTTTCAATTTCTTCAGCCACTACAAACAATGACCATCCCAGCTGATTGTGATAAAACCTTACAATACCAAATTCTGAATATCCTCTATGTGAGGGTGGGGGGGGAGAATGGACTTGTGTGATGCTACACTAATCCCGTGTCAAAATACCTGGAAGACAGATCCTGAATTTCAGCATCTTGGTAGCTTTCCGCCTGTCTCCCAACGCCTTATATATCTTTCATATTGGGTCATCTCCAGAATCCCAGACAGGAGGACATCCCAAAAGTTTTCATGCTGCTTCTTTGCAAGCCTCTGGCTCCTGCTCTAGCTTTTCTCATTAGAGCAAAGCTGTGCTACCCTAAAAGGGAAGGGGGAGTAAGCATTATCCATCAGTGAGCTCATGCCTTTGTGCTTAAGGCTTTGACTAAAACAGGCAATGAGAGGACATGTTCTTGCTCCATTCCCAGCCTGGCCAGCAGCCAGATCCCACCCCTTCCCCTTGGAATGCAGGAGAATTGCCTGTTCCTGATGTATATCTTACTAAAGTGGCTTGGGAGCGTGTCAGAGGTTTAGGGTGAAGCACTGGCCTTGACTTCTAAAGCATGAGAAAGGCAATGCTGTTTATAGACCATTGAGTGATTTTCCAGTCTGCCCAATGCTCATTTTTCTGCCCTTTTTCAAAGGTTGCAAGAGGAGATTCATCTTAAAGAAGAAGCAGAAAACAACCTAGCTGCTTTCAGAGCTGTAAGTCCAAACGTTTCTGGGAAAATGAGGAAAAGATTTGTGAAATAGCACAAAGGGAATATCACTTGACATATTTAAAAGTGCATGCTTAGCTTTCTTTTGCCCCTTCCGAGAAGACATACTGTGTCTTTCCCCTCCACCTATTAGCACTTTCTCAGATCTTTTCCAAAGTGGTAGACAATTGACACTTGGATTTAAAAATATAAGGGATTATTAGGATTATAGTTAAAACAAGATTTCTGAAGAACATCAAGTTGCCAGCCTTCTATAGCCCCTTTTGAATAATTGCAACGCCCCCTACTCTTTTGTCTATAACGTTGTGCAACCTAGATGCATATGAACTTTTTTCATGTCGCTAGAATATTTAGAATCTTCTAAATGATATGATGTTTTGAATCATTTATAATAGGATCTATATGCCACAGGGAGTTGCCACAGGGAGTTTAAGTGCTCCTTCAGGGATTCATATAATGGAGCAGCATTTACCCTGCATTTCAAGGAATTTGGAATTGAGATTCAGGCAACTGCTCTGCCATTGTCATGGTTGCCAGAATCTGGAGTGATGTTAGAAAATGTTAGTAGCCCTTTTGTTCAAGGATCATTTGAATTGGTTCAGTTGGGGTCCTTCCCACTCATTTCCTGGGCTTCCAGAACTTCCAGTATTGTTTTCATTGGCCAGATTCCCAGATGTTGTCAGTCAAAAATCAGAGGTGGGGGGGAGGGGGCTCAACCTCTTGGGCCTTTTCAGGAGCACACAGTTAAATGGCAGTTAAACTCATTTCCCTATTCAGTGAAGTTGTGCTCTTTTAATGAGGACCAACCTCCTGAGTCTATTATTACTGCTGAGGTCATGCTCCTTCTTTCTCTGCCGTTACAGGATGTTGATGCAGCCACTCTGGCCCGTCTTGACTTGGAGAGGCGTATCGAATCATTGCAGGAAGAAATCGCTTTCCTCAAAAAAGTGCATGAAGAAGTAAGCAGCTGTCTTGTACTTGTGACTTAGTACTTCTCAAAATGATGGCTTCAAGAATGGAAGGAGGGGTGGAGCTGTTGAAGGGGGTGGAGAGGATCAAGCCCAGAATTTAAGCCATAATAGCAGCTTTAATTGAAAAAAAAAAAGATGATATCAAGTATCAAAGGTTTCACATCATTAGGCCAGCCTTCTCCTGCTAGTTTGCATCACGCTTTGGTAGGATGGCACAAAGTTTCCTAACATGTTGGGCAAACCCTACCAACACGTGATGTAAACCAAGCTAGTGTTATTCGTTTTGGGTTCTGTAAGACATGGTGCCTATGGAGCAGGAGCTGATGTGATGGACTAAAGTGAAGCAGCAGTTTCCCAGGAAGGAGGGAGCACATTTCAAAAAGGGTGGTGATAAGGAGACAAAAAGCAGCCCAGCCCAGAGCTGGATAAGAGACAGAGAAAGAGAGGCAGGCTAGTCACTTCCTAGAATCTCCCAGGGTGTATCAATTAAGGCGAAAGTAGGAAGGGTTTAGTCTGTCAAGATTCTGTCTATTGTGTGTAAGGAAATAAAGAAGTGAACTCTGGCTAAATGTCCTTCTTGCGTTTAGCCTGATAGGTTCAGTGTGTTGTATGAACTCAGGGAACTGGCTTAATTTAGTAACCCAATGATTTAATCCACCATAGATTAGTGTGTCCTGTGAAATAGTTTATAACTTCCTGAAAGATCATGTTGGGCAAGGTTTTGTCACAACTGAAAGCCTTCTTTTGCAATTCGATGGTTCTTGATATTTTTGAGTACAAGGACTTTTGTGCCTAACCAGTATGGATTACGGAAGGTGGCTAGTAAGCCTCTCCCTACTGTATTGGCTTGATGGTACACTCTTTGTGATTTCTCCAGGAAATTAGAGAATTGCAATCCCAGCTACAAGAGCAACAAATCCAGGTGGAGATGGACGTGTCAAAGCCAGATCTGACCGCAGCACTGCGTGACATCCGTGCCCAGTATGAGAATATTGCTGCAAAGAACATATCAGAAGCAGAGGAATGGTACAAGTCTAAGGTAGGGAGAAAGAGCAGCGGCACTTGTTTAAAATACTGGGAATGACTGGAGTTAAGTTTTCACTCATGGGATTCACTCGTATTAATCCACATTTGTGTTTTCATCTGCTCCTCCTCCCTCTACGTACAGGTGTCTGACTTGACTCAGGCAGCAAATAAAAACAATGATGCCATTCGCCAAGCCAAGCAGGAGATGATGGAGTACCGGCATCAAATCCAGTCATTCACCTGTGAGATTGATGCGCTCAAGGGCACGGTGAGTGAGCTGCCATGCCAGATTAATCATGGAGTCAGATTCGGAATACTGGACTTTGCATTTCCCTGCGCTCATTGATACAAATGCAAGGGAAGCATGGAGAAAGCAAACTGCCCAGGGTTTTGCACAGCTGTCAGACGGAAAGGTCATTCATAATCTCTGAGGGAAACTGACAGAAGTTCTGTTTAATGTAGAGAAAGTTCCATGGCCAGCTGAAAATCCTCATGTAGGCTGCCTGGTAAAATCTCAGCCTATGGTCTCAACCAACAATCTCTTATGTCCCTCGAATGGACAGGAGGGGTGTGCGTCTTTTTTATATTCAACAAAAAAGGGGGGGAAGGCTAGAAATCTCCTCCTTTCTTTCTCCTCACTTGCTTTCCTCCTTTTGACTTCCAGAATGACTCTCTGATGAGGCAGATGAGAGAGATGGAGGAGCGCTATGCTGGTGAGGCCGGCAATTACCAGGACACAATCCAGAGGCTTGAAGAGGAGATCAGGCATTTGAAGGATGAGATGGCACGGCACCTGCGCGAGTACCAGGACCTGCTCAATGTCAAGATGGCTCTTGACGTTGAGATTGCCACTTACCGCAAGCTGCTGGAGGGTGAAGAGAGCAGGTGAGCATTATCCGCAAGACTACGTGTCTTGTAAAGGTAACTGCTTAAGTCCATTAAAGTTGACAGATGGTTTGTGGGGGGGTTGTATTGATGGAATAATAGCAGGTTTTTACACTGATTGTGAAGCCTTAGCCTATTACTGCCACACAATATTCTACTGCAATTCTGGAATGAGTTCAGACACCTCACGAGGCCAAAAAGTGGCTTTCTTGGTTTGGTTTATTGTGAGAATTCAATCTTTGCTGTGGCTTTGGGTGTTGAACCTAGCCTGTTTATGTGAGAAACACCTAGAAAAAGAGACGTGGCTTATCACAGAATCTGAACTCTGCCTTTGTGCTTGGTGACAGCAAAAGAATAACAAAGAAAGAAATACATCCTTCTGTTGTGACAGTTAGGAAAGAAATAGACCAGTGAATCTCTTGCAGTTATTTTTTTTTCCTTTTGGCTGAGCAGTGTGGACTAGTGGGACTTACATTTTGCAATAATGCTGAATTTGCATGAAGATGCAATTTTAGAATTACAACAAGAAAACTAGAAACAACACTTCAGTATGCAAGCCAGAAGAATACAATTAGTTCAAATTTAAGTGGTTTTTTTTTTTAAAAAAAAGGACCATAAAGGATAATAATGGTTCTTGGGGAGGGGGGGGGGCTGCTATAAAACAGGAAATCTGAAAGCAGAAAAAAAAAGACGACGTTGTTTTTTCATCCTTCCTTTTTCTTCCCTCCCCCCCCCCCCCTTTTTTTTTTTTTTACAGAATTTCACTGCCCATTCAAACTTTTTCTGCCATTAACTTCCGAGGTAAGTGACCTGGATCTGGTCTACGTAGTTAAAGGGATCTGTGGGCATGCAAATCACATGGGATATTTTGTAATGCTAACGATGGAGCAGAAACAGAGGAAAACCCGTTCCCAAGGTTCACTAGAGAACGGTGATTCAAATGAGGATGGAATTACGTGTTTCATGCCTATCCATAATCTGTTCTGCTTATTCCTGAATAAAATGTTTTTGGAAAGAAAATGGGGTTTTAAAGGATGACATTTAGAGGAAAGGGAGAAAGAGATTGCTTTTCAATTAAAGACGGTGCCCTTCCCTCTATGTATTTATATTATTTATCAAATTTAGAAACTGCCCATCTCACTCACAGAGCCACTTTCTGAGACCAGAACCCTCCCTCCCTCCCTCCCACCTCTCTGCCTCGCCGACTTTCCCTCTTGCCCTGGAGTTCCTGAAATGGACCTGCAATGACAAATATATCTGAAACCCCACAACTGCAAGAAGGAAGGCCAGGTTCAGAACAAACACTCAGTCAAAGGAAGGATTATACATCACAGTCTACCTTCCATTCCAAACCAGTCTCACCTAAAGTTGTTTTTCTCTACAGTTAGTTCTTCAGGGGGTGAGTGTAGGAATTGGTACCAGGCAGTGGTGAAATCCAATTTTTTTTACTACCAGTTCTGTGGGCGTGGCTTGGTGGGCATGGCATGGCTTGGTGGGCATGGCTTGGTGGGCATGGCAGGAGAAGGATACTGAAAAATCTCCATTCCCACTCCACTCCAGGGGAAGGATATTGCAAAATCTCCATCCCTACTCCACTCTGGAGCCAGCCAGAGGTGGTATATGCCCGTTCTCCAAACTAATCAAAATTTCCGCTACCGGTTCTCCGAACTGCTCAAAATTTCTGCTACCAGTTCTCCAGAACCTGTCAGAACCTGCTGGTACCAGGCATAATATGTAGTTCTATCCAGAAATGTGTCAGCACTTCAAGCTGCTTTTACTCTAGTGCTGACATAAGAAGGAGAAGCGGAGGCGTCTGGAAAGGGACGTTTGACTTTTCACCTACTTATTTTCCCTGGAGATAATATCCCCTAGGAGATGGAATGGGAGGGGGAAATTCCTTTGAGCTGGAGCAGTAGATTAGGGATAGAGTGACTTGGAAGATGGCCAATGAGTGCAGAGGAGTGGGGAAAGGAAAGGGAGGGTTTTGGTCAGGAAGTCAGTGTTGGCTGCGATGGAGTCAGAGTTAGAATGTCGTGCTTAATAAATGGGAGTTTTTCATCAAAGACTTTGTTTGAAATGCAATTTATCTGAGACGACCTCGAAACCTGACAAAATGTTTAAATGAGCTGAATGAGTCCATCTCTCAAGTTTCTTTCTAACGTGTGTTGGGTGAGACACCATAAACAGAGTCTACTGTATTAAGAAATGCAGCACAATGAATATTATAAACATACACACCACTAACAAAACCAAACAGGATAGCTACTACTTTCTCAGCATTGCATCAAAACAAGAATAAGCTCTTTCTCTTGTGTCCAAAAAGAATCTTATAAAGGCTATAAAAGATAATGGCAACCAAGCCTACGGTAAATATTATAGCTGCGGTAATTCTAGTTCTGAATTCAAGCTCTGTTTTGATGCTGTGATGCCAAATCTAGTAGAACTGAAGAACATCTTGGAAGATCGCTTTACTTTGTCATAAATGCTCGTTGTGTTACATAGACTGTTCAGTTAGATTGGCAAGAGCTGGTGTGGGGTGCATGTGTATCAGGGACATGGGGTGAACATGATACCTATCTCCTCTTAAGTCTTGGTGAGCAAGTGATGGAGAACAGTGAGCCTGGAACATCCCTAGCCACAGATCAAATTCTCCCAATGCTGTTTTCTCCCATGAAATGCATGCCATTGTGCACCCATTATCAAGTGATTCTTCTTTCTGTCCTACAGAGACCAGCCCAGAGCAGAGGAGCTCTGAGGTCCATACCAAAAAAACAGTGACCATCAAAACCATCGAGACACGTGATGGGGAGGTAAGCTGACAGTGAGCACTGATGAAAACCAGAAGGGTTAGCAACACTGCTGCCCAATAGAAAAACCCCAGGAAAAAATCAATAAAGCTTGCCTGTCATGCCTCACTATTATGGAGCAGGGGGAACATTCTGAGAACAGCTCACCCTCTTGGTGTGAGACTTACTGAGAATAAGGAACGGGAGATGCATCTGAAGGAACATAGCCGGATGTAGTTGTCTTCCTTATTCTTCTGTCCCGACAAAGCAGAAATAGGGAAGCCAATGGCGGGAACAAGCAAAGGCCCCACCTGATCGGGAGAAGGCCTAGGAAGGTGGGACTAAGGGCTTTCCTTAACTGAAATCTCTGTCTTTCTCCAGGTGGTCAGCGAAGCCACGCAGCAACAGCATGAAATGCTGTAGGTCTTGTAACTCCCAGAGCGACGTGGCCCATCTCAACCCTCTCCTTCTCGTGTGCAAAAAATCAGGGGATGTCGGTTCCCACACCTTCTCCCTCACACCCCTTTTCTAAGAGCGTCACTGGAGAACCTCACCTGCTCAACTGAATGTACAAGAAGCCTTCTGTTCCCCAAAGCCTCTCTCCTTTGGCTCCCTTTCTGCCTTTCCTTTCCTTTCCTTTCCTTTCCTTTCCTTTCCTTTCCTTTCCTTTCCTTTCCTTTCCTTTCCTTTCCTTTCCTTTCCTGTCCTTTCCTTTCCTTTCCTTTCCTTTCCTTTCCTTTCCTTTCCTTTCCTTTTTTTCCTGTCCTTTGGCAGGAGGAGGGTAGAAAGAGAGGTGCAGCTCTGTGTGTATGTGTGTGTGTGTGTGTGTGTGTGTGTGTGCGGTACGTGCATGCATGTGCTAGAGGCAAGGCTTCCTGCCCCTGTACAGGGTCTGGCCGTTGCCTGAAAAGAAAACTCTCATCTGCCTTTACATGGTCACACGTGCCCTGAGCCACATATGTGTGTGCTCTGATAGTCATGTGTAATTAACAACCCCAACCCGACTGTGGGTCCCTGCCCCTTCTGGGTCCTTCTGCTGCAGCAGTAATGAGAGCTACCTGCAGGCCATGCACAGACAGAGGAAAGGGGAGGACGTGTGAGCATAGCCCAGAGAATGAGGCTGAGTCACCTGCCCAGTCTTGCCTCCGGGACCAAAGCCACAGACTTGCCCCTACCCTCAGGGAGCAGGACTCCTTGCTTGTGGGTGGGTGATGCTTGTATCTCTAAGCCCAGTGCCCTGTCCCTTTTGCTATGCTACTGAAGCTCTGTTGGACAAGGTTTTTCCCCTTCCTGTCTTGGGGGTTTCCTACAAGTGTAGGCTAGGGTGCTAGGAAAATTAGGAGCAAGTGAGTGAGGCCTCTTAGAGTAGAAGGTTTGGGCCCAGAAGGGGACAAGCCCTCCCACATTCCTGCTGTGAAGTAAAGCTCCTAATTTGGGAGGTGGGATATAAAGGCCACCAAGGAGAGGAGCAACATGCCAGGGGCAATGCACCCACTAGTGCCAGCTTCTCTGCCTGGAGTATGATCCCTTGCCACATCCCAAATCTGTCCCACAGGGACTGCTGAAAGGCCTGCAAAAGATTGTGTAGAAGAGAAGGAACTGGCAGGTGATCAGATGATGGAGAGGGAGAGAGCAAGCAAAGAACAGTTGGTAATTGTGAATGAATGGAGAGAGAGAGAGAGAGGACATGGAGAGAGAATGAATACTCCTAGCCCTGCACCCCCAACACATACTGGTCCTGCAAAGAGATCAATAAAACTATGCAGCACAAAACTGGTTGTGTATATGTTCTTTCTTTGCTGGCTCTGGCAGAGCAAATCTGACTCAATTTAATCACATACTGAGGAGAAGGAGAAAAGAAGAGAAGGAAAAGGAGGAAGGAGAAGGAAAAAGAGGAGAAGGAGAATCTGTGTTGCAAGAGATGTCTATGTTTTGTATAGCAGAGGCATTTCTAATGTGTCCTGCTTCTCTTCCATTTTGGTGGCGTGTTTTTCATTATCCCTAGTTTACTCCAGGCACCCTCCTATTCGCCATACTCTTCTGTCCACAGCTGCATTTTGGAAATGTGCTACCACCACAGTCCCTCATATATGGAAGGGCCTCCTGTACAGATTCTGCTTGGTACTGGCTTCAAAACCCAGCCTCTTAATGGTGCTACAGATAGGAGAAGGGGCACTTAAAAGTTCTGCTCTTTGCTCTTCAGCTATTAAAGAGACATCAAGTGCAGTGGTGGAATTCAAATTTTTTTACTACCGGTTCTGTGGGCGTGGCTTGGTGGGCATGGCTTGGGCATAGCAGGGAAAGGATACTGCAAAATCTCCATTCCCACCCCACTCTGGGGCCAGTCAGAGGTGGTATTTGCTGGTTCTCCGAACTACTCAAAATTTCCGCTACCGGTTCTCCAGAAATTGTCAGAACCTGCTAAATAGCACCCCTGATCAAGTGGTACCTAAATGTTGGTTCTCTATAGTAGACTTACATCCTCTTCAGCACCAGAAACATCCCATGTAAGCCCAGAGATGGCAGCTTTGTTTCCCCATCACATTTAAGTCTGTTTTAGCACAATCAAAACTTACCAGTGCTCTAGTCATGCACAGTCACACTAAATGTGCCCCAAATCACCATTTTAGAAATTGTGTCTTCATCCACGTTCTTTAGGAAGCGCCTACTCCCTCAGGAGACTCTGAGACTTAGAGATTACCAATAAGTGATAGACAAGGACCTATACAAATAAGATCTTTTAACTCATGTACATGTCCCTCTAACTGTAACTTGAAGATATTTTGCTAATTTGTATTTTAACAGCTTATGCTAATGGGTCTGTCTTCATTTTATTCCCAGCCCATATCTGAGGCTGTCTAGCTTCATATTTAGCTGATTTAGATGGGAAAGTAGTTTCCACCTTCTCTTGACACAAGCCTTGTTTCATGAATGATGCCTGGTGTTCAGACAGCCTGACTATTTATTTATTTATTTATTGAATTTGTATACCGCCCTACTCCTGAAGGACTCAGGGCGGTGAACAGCCAAATAAAATACATATAATACAAATATTAAAAAACCATTAAAATGCAATTAAATAATTGGCCTGGAAAACGAAATTTAAAACACCCCAAATTCATAAGACAAATTTAAAATTGAAGAATTTTAAAAATTTTTAAAAAGTTTAAAAGAGAGGTTAGGCCAGGCCGGCCTGCTGGAAAAGAAATGTTTTGATGGCACGGCGGAAAGCGCGCAGGTCCGGGATCCTCCGTATCTCCGGGGGGAGCTCGTTCCAGATGGCGGGTGCCCCCACAGGGAAGGCTCTCCCCCTGGGGGCCGCCAGTCGACATTGTTTGTCCGACAGCACCCTGAGGAGCCCCTCTCTATGGGAGTTTACTGGTCGGTGAGAGGCTACTGGTGGCAGAAGGCGGTCTCGTAAATACCCCGGTCCTAAGCCATGGAGCGCTCTAAAGGTGGTAACCAAAACCTTGAAGCGCACCCGGAAGACCACCGGGAGCCAGTGCAGCTTGCGCAGGAGGGGGGGGTCACATGGGAGCGCCCCGTCGCTCCCATAACCACCCACACGGCCGCATTCTGGACCAGCTGGAGCCTCCGGGTGCTCCTCAAGGGGAGCCCCATGTAGAGAGCATTGCAGTAGTCCAGGCGGGAAATGACGAGGGCATGAGTGACCGTATTTAACGAGTCCCAATCCAGAAAGGGACGCAACTGGCGAATCAGGCAAACCTGATAAAACACCCTCCCGGCCACAGCCATCAAGTGCTCTTTTAAAGACAGCTGTGAGTCCAGGAGGACCCCCAAGTTGCGAGCCCTCTCCGTGGGAGCCAATGACTCACCCCCAATAGTCAGTGATGGCACCAACTGACTATATCAGGATGTCGGAAACCACAGCCACTCAGACTGAAGAAAATGAGTCAGAAGTAGGGGACTGCTCAGCTCCTATCGGATACAATAATCACATCCTGTGCTCTCTATTTGCAGGCCACTGCCCTGCATGGCTATTTTGACTTCTGGACAGATATTTAAATTTAACAGATTAACAGAGTTGGAAGGGACCTTGCAGGTCATCTAGTCCAATCCCCTGCCCAAGCAGGAGACTCTACATCTGCCTCTACCTAGGATCGAACTCACAACCTCCTGATTGTGAGGTAAGAGCTCCACCTCTAGGCCACAGCCTGACTTCCACAGATAGCCAAATCATGGCATTAATCCAACTAAAATATCATTTTGCCATCTAGTGGTCGTCTGGATTTTGGAAGCAGAGTTATGGTAGCTGTATTCTCGATTTGTTTATTTAATCTGCTATGGGATTAATCAATTTGGTGGAATAAGGTGTAAAATACCAAACTAGAAACCGGGAGACTATGAGTTCTAGTCCAGCCTTAGGCACAAAACAGCCAGGTGATTCTGAGCCAGTCACTCTCTCTCAGCCCTAAAATGGAGGCAATGGCAAGTCATTTCTGAAATCTTGCCAAGAAAACAGCAGAATACTGACATGATGAAGGCACCAAAAAAACTTCAGAAACGGAATTAGGTGATTTTTTTTTTCAAAGGCATTTTCAATTTAAGGATTTTATGTACCCACAGAACTAAATTAAAGGAAATGGATGGCTTTGTATTTTAATTTTCTTTTTGCTTTATTCTTTTTAAAAAAAAATTAGTGCACCATCTCCTTGGACAAGATATAATAATATTAGGATTAATAGAGAATCTTGAGAGTATTTTGCATATATTGCTTGATTTCACGCTTCACATTTTATTTAAGCATAGTTAACTAAATACTGGCATTGCACAATACTGCATATTAAGCCATAAACGATGATTTAAAAACAAAATAGCCAGGTTGGCACTACATGCTATGCCATCAGCAAACCAGATTAGGCTTGTTTAAGTACAGTTTGCTGAATAAAGGTTGTATCACATGCTAACCTGTAAAACAGTATTTGCAAATTACAATGGTCGGCCTTAATATTAAACCAAAATCAAACCACATTATGGGTTAGTATGATGCATAAAGAGGGTGTGATGGCTCAGCAGTTAAAGACCCTGAGCTTGTCAGTTGGGAAGTTGATAGCCTGGGTTCAAGACCTGAGTGTAGTATGATTGGGTGAGCTCCCATCCTTGCCCCAAGGTCTGACTACCCAGCAGTTCAAAAGAATGAAAATGTGAGTAGGTAAATAGGTACCACTTTGGTGGGAAGGTAATAGTGTTCCGTGCGCATCAGCGTATAGTCAGGCTGGCCAAATGACCACGGAAGTGTCTTTGGACAACACTGGCTCCCTCGGCTAGGAAATGGAGATAAGCATTGCCCCTAGAGCAGGGGTGAAATCCAGCAGGTTCTGACAGGTTCTGAAGAACCGGTAGCGGAAATTTTGAATAGTTCAGAGAATAGGCAAATACCACCTCTGGCTGGCCCCAGGGTTGGTGGGAATGGAGATTTTGCAATATTCTTCCCCTGGAATGGGATGGGAATGAAGATTTTGCAGTATCCTTCTCCTGCCACACCCACCAAGCCATGCCCACAGAACCGGTAGTAAAAAAAATTTGGATTTCACCACTGTTCTAGAGTCGGACCAGACTGGACAAGGGAAACTTTACCTGTACCTTTTATGATGCATAAATCTAATATTGTACCTAGAATCCAAATTGAAGACCAATGCAGAGGTTTTAATATTAGTGCACTGACCATGGTTTGTAATTTACCTGTTGCATTTTATTTCACCAACTTCCTGCTTCCTTGTCTGTGTATAATACTTGAGCACCATAACCTTTCCCAGCTCTATTCAGCCACTTGAAAAGCAAAATTTCTCCTCTCCAGCAGATGGCAGCATTATTCAAATCATATTTCACGATCTAGTGGTAAAGCAACTTTTCTCTAGGCTGTAATTCCTGTTGGTTTGTCTTTTAATGGATAATGTCACAATGTTTTTTTTTCCCCCTCCGAGCAATTCATAAGTCTCTCAGCTCTAAGGATTTGTGTGCAGAGCACAAAGCCCAAGACTGGAAATTCGTTATTGTGTCATTATGCCAAGGTTCATATACAACTCATCCTTTGTGTGACATGAGCGTCCTCCAGGATTTAGTTTTAGGCCTATTCTTTTGCAAAGTCGTGTCCGACCCATCGTGACCCCATGGACAATGTTCCTCCAGGTCTTCCTGTCCTCTACCATCCTCTGGAGTCCATTTAAGCTCCCAGCCAGTTCTACCAGACAACTTTTCTCATACTGGGATTATCTTTTTTCCCCCCAGTTCCACTAGCTTGGAATCTTCCAAACTAGCCATCTCTCCCAGATCTTGTTAGCTTTTCTTACATATTATAAGTGTGCTGCTGCTCCAAAGAGCTACAGTTAGTGCTTGTGATCCAGGAAACTTCACGGCCAACTGTTGTTTTGCATCCCTCTGTTCAGAAGTTGGTTTCAACAGGTTCTGACCAGTTCTGGAGAACCGGTAGCGGAAATTTTGAGTAGTTCGGAGAACCGGTAGTAAAAATTCTGACTGGCCCCGTCCCCATCTATTCTCTGCCTCCCAAGTCCCAGCTGATTGGGAGGAAATGGAGATTTTACAGTATCTTTCTCCTGCCACGCCCACCAAGCCATGCCCACCAAGCCATGCCATGCCACGCTCACCAAGCCACGCCCACAGAACCGATAGTAAAAATTTTTGAAACTCACCACTGCTCTGTTTCCATGCAGAGGTGGCCCAATTTTTTCTTCCTGGGTGATGGAGGTGATAATGGTCCCTTTCCTATCTTCTCCTCTCCTCTACACAAAAAT